CGTTGAAGATATTATTAAATTATTTTCATTAGATGTGAAGAAAGGAACATCTGCTTCTAAATATCAGAACAATCCCCAATTAACTATTTTTCATTTTATTTTTATGTGAAATGTTGTTTCATTATTGTTAGATGTGTATTGTAGTACTTTATTTTAAGAAGAATATATAAATAACACTAAAGTCAAAGCACATATTCTTTAACCTTAACACCACTAATAAATCTCATTTTTATTAATGACAACAACTTATAATCAAGCTCAAGATTTTATTAATAAACAAGTCATCATTAATAATATCCCAACAAAAAGTGGTATTGTTCAGTAATGGTTTGTAATAATTTTTAGTGAAAACAAACTTACAACAGCACTTGAGTAGCGAGAATTATCTGTTTTTATCAAAAATAACTTCATGAATAATTGTGACATGTAATTTAAGTATAGTTTTGTTGTACGGTTATTGTGACACTTTTGATAAATAATATTTGAAACAAAAAATAATACAACAAAATATTATAAAAAATGTTATTAATAAATTAGTTTTATTTTAATAGTTTTATAATTATTAATTTATTATAAAATATTTCATTAGTTTTATTTTTAATATTTTTAATTAATTTTTCTTTATTAATATTATAGAATATCATCATTTCTTTTAATATCATTAAGTTATTTTCTTCTCACAACTTTCATTAATTTCAATTTTATTGATATTTATCTTGTTATTTAACAATAAATATAACATTTTATTATTTGACTTATCTGATTTCTTCTTTCGGACTAATTTATTAATTCGTTTAGACCTTTTTGATAGTAAAGTTATTGTTTCTTAGTTTGAAGTACAAAACATTTTTTTAATGACTATAATAAAGGAAGTTATATGACTATTCAATTATTTGAATGGTTAGTTGTTTCTATGAATGATAATATCATAATTGGAAATTATACACTTCGAGTTGTTTTCGGTCTTGTGTTTGTTTATTTGGTTCGATTAGATGACAGCTCATTGCTTTAATGTTAGTATCAGCATTACTGATAAGTTGGTATTCATTAAAAGTCATCCAAATGTATGGTTTTTGTTTTTTACCATCAACAGTTCTAAAAGTATCTTCAAGCCAAATTCTAGATGAACAATTTTGATAGGATTGATTTGTGAGTTGAGATCTTAATGAATAACAATATTTATTATCTATTTGAACAAATGGCTGACCTTGAATATTTGATTCAACAATAAAGGTGTCATTTTGATTTATATCATGATTAATAGATATAAGACGCGTTCCATTTCTCCATTGGAAAATATTAAAACGGTCATCAACATTAATTAAGTCCCTCATAAGAGAAGAACCATTTTCAGGTATATTATAATTTACTCCAATAAGAAAAACTCCGCCATCACCCATTGTTTCATAACCAGTAATCAAATAACTTTCTGGGACTGTTGGTTGACGACAGTGAGAATCTATGTTAATATTAAAAGTCCCTGCATTAGAACGAGCACGTTCATTTCCAGTAATTAATTCATGGGCTGTAAGTAGTACAATATTTTTAAGGCTTAATTCCTTTTGAATACCAATAACAGAAGTGAAACATTCTCTATCACATAGGTATTTTCCTCCAGCATTATTTTCATTTGCATTCTCCACTGTTTTAATAAATGTTTTATTATTTCGAATTGTGTCACTAAGACTATCTAATGGATATTTTAATGATGGATAAAACACTGAAAAAACAATTATTGAAGGAATTATCAAAAATAAGAAAATCCCCCATAATCCAAAAAGTACAACTTCATTTTTATCTGTTAGTTCTTCATCACTGTATCCTTCATCATATTCATAATAGTCGCTTGAGTGTTTTCCTATCATAAAATTATCAAATGCTTTTTTTTTATTTTTTTACAAAAAAAAAAATAAAAAGATTATTACTTATTAATAACAAATTTTTAAGATTTTAATCCAACTACGAAAAATTGATGAAACAAAACCAATAAGACATAATCTTAAGATTATCACTTTCTTTTATGATAAAAACCACAAAAGGTCAAGTATATATAAAAAACAGAAAAAAGTAATTTATCAATACGTTTAATGAATATCACTATTTGTCCACAATTTTTAGATTCTTGTGAAACAGAATTTAAAATAAATGACTCTAAGATCAATCTTCGTGCTTTTGAGTTATCCCTTCATTTCCCAGAAATTGTTCAAAGATATCGTGATATGATGACTAATAATAAATCACAAGAATGGGAAATAGTCCAAAAGAATGTTTTAGAGTTTAAAGAATTCATTAATACGATTATCAATGAAGCAATTCAACCAGAAATGATATATCTTCAACATATTGAAGAAAAAGAAATGAAAAATAAAGAAATAAAAAATATCATTAATGAAGTAATTACAACAGAAGAAGAATATTCTAAAGATATTACACTTTATCTAAAAACATATGCTAAAGTCCTCATCAAATCAAAATTTGTTGGAGAATTAGTTCGTGATAGTGAAGTAGTATTATTAAATATTATTGAACTATCTAATAAAATAAGTAAAGTTTTAAAATCAAAAAATTATTCTAACTTAATACTTTGTCTAGACTCCCTATGTGTGTATGATAGTTATTTCATATTTTATGAAAGAGTTGTTTCCCTAATGCCAAAAATCTTAAAAGAATTACCACAATTACAAGAAATTAAAGGAAGACCAGAGATGAAGAATCTAGGAGTTTTAGACTTTTTAATTAAGCCAATACAAAGAATTACAAAATACCCATTGTTTGTAAAGAATTTAAAGGAGAATGTTGAAAATCCAAAAGATAAAAACTTATTAGAATTTCTTGATAATTATTTAAATGAACAATTGAGTAAGAGTAATAGTTCCCAAAAATGTTTTAGTTCAGAAAAAGAAAAAGAAATGATATTGCCATTATTAAAATGGAAAGGAAAAGGTATTGATTTAAGTACATCAATGTTTATAATAAAATCAAATATTATTTCAGTAACACAAATTGAGAAAAATGCTATGCCTCTGTTAAAAGAAGTTAATTATTGTATTCTCTTTGATAGTCATCTTTTATTATCAAGAATGAAAGGATCTAAAATTTATGTTGAAAAAATTATAACTTCTATATCACTTATTGAAGAATTTAATGATCATATTACTCTTCATTCAAGAAAAAATGTATTGTCTATTTGTTTTGTATCAAAAACTGATCAAAAACTTTGGATAACTAAACTAAAAGAATTTAAAGAAAAGCAAGACAAGTTAATAAATTCTTTTCATTCATTAAGTAGTACGTCATCTCTTGGAAATAAGAATTTATCTCACCCAAGAAGACCAACAGCTGGGTCATTTGATTCTATGAAAATAGAAAATGCTATCACACAACAAAACTTACATCGTACAAAGAGTTCCGCATCTAACCCATCTATTTCATTGCTTTGATTTTATTAAATATTTTTAAAAAGATTATTTTTAATTTTTCAAAAATTGTTTTGTTGACGCCACATTTTTTGGAGTAATAAATAAAAAGATCCAAAAGAACTATAAAAAAACTACGAAAAGAACGAAGAATAAATTTGGTGAGATTTGATTCAAAAAAGAAGAACTATAAAAGAATAATAAAAATAAATAATAAATGAAAAGATATAAATAAATTATTCCTAAATGCTAAATTTAAATTAATAATATAAAAATATCCGTTAATAAAAAACTATTAAATTTGAACAATTGCCTGTTAAAAGAATTTTTTCATGAAGTTTTTTAAGAAAGATAACAAATAGAAAAAAGACATTAAGTAATTAAATACAAATCTTAAAGCCCTGATGGTAAATTACTTGTTTTATGTTCTGAAGATTTGATCCAGTAATAAAGAGTTGATGCACACAAACCTTTATATTCTGGTGTTTTTTGAAGGAGACGTGTTGCTTTAGATAGTCCCATTTCCTTACCAATTTTAACAGCCTTTTCTCTAGATGTTTTGTCCCATCTTTTTCTTTTAGGAGAATTACTTTTTATTTCAGCACTACTAGGAATTGTAGTATTAACAGTCTCTGAAGAAAGAGAAGGTGATTTTATTGTATTATATCCATCAAGTATTTGGTAAAATTCTTTTTTACAAGGAGTAAACACTGAAGTAGCCATAACAATTATTCAAGAAATGAAAATGACTTTAAAACAAGTTCTGTTTTTATACTTAAAATGGATTAAAAATAATTACAATCTTTGAACAATCACTTTTATTTTTCAAAACGAAAGTCATATTTTTGATTTCTTTTTAAAACCATTTCTTTAAATTTATTTTTTCAACCCTTTTTATTTCTTTTATTTTTCTGGTTTTTTTGTTTTTTTATTTTTCACTTTTCTTTAATGACTTAAAATTCTATCTTTTTCCCTTTCTTAAGTTTTCATAGTTTTTTAATAATCCCCTTCTTTCAACAATCGGAGATTTGTCTAAACCTTCTATTCTTTTCAATGATATCTTTATAAAGTTGTTTTTTTTTTCAAATTGAGATATTACTTCATATGAGAACTTTATTTATTATTAAAACATAACATAAACAAATAGTAATTGTCAAATTCTGAAAAAGGAAGTATTTATTTGGTTATGCAATATAAAAATTATCTTTCTAAATAATTTTTATTTGAAAAAATCAAATCCAATTTAGAAATAAAATATTTTAATATCTATTTAAAAAAAAAAATTATGTGAATGAATATTTAATAAAGTTTTAGTGCATGTTTTTGCTTTTGTTGTTTCCATTTTGGTTGTGCTTCAAATTGTTCTCTTGTCATTTTAAAAACTTGTTCAAATTCAGTGTCACTTAAGTAATGTTCTAATTGAGACATATCAATACCAGCAGGGAATCTATGATGAACAAGATCATCATAAGAATATGTTTTAGTTAATTTCAATAATTCTTCTAAACAATTATCCATATGGTCATTAACACTTATCACTTGTTTTTTATTTACTCTCCATCCATGGAAATAATTTGTAAATACAAAAGGTTCTTTACCATCATAAACCAACCAACATTCTCTATTCATTCTTTCATTTTCTTTAGTTCTTTTAATAAATTCATTTGTTGTTTCCATAGCAAATTTTTTATCAATAGCAGATATTTCTTTTCCAATCCATAAATAACAAATGTCATAACAATCTAATAACATAGCAGCTTTAGGTTCTAAATCTTCTTGATACCAATCTGTTACTTCTTCAACAGCAAATACTCCACTTTTACTTGACATTTCAAATAATCTATTTTTCCATTCAACACTCTTTGTTTTTAATATCCTTTTTCCTCCAATAACATTCCAAAACTCTTCTGTTTCTTCTCCTTCATTCATTTCAATAACATCTTTTCTTTGTACATCATTATATTTTTGAATTAAAAGATGAGTAAATTCTAATTCTTTTTTTCCTGTTAATTTTCCTTTCCAAAGATAAGTAATATTTTCTGTAGTAATGAGGAAAATTCCTTCTGAAGTTAATCTATTAGGAATGTCATGTTGTTCAATTTCTACTGCCTTAACATGTTCTAAATTAACACCACATTTTCTAATATCAAATACTAATCGTTGTTCTTTTTTAGTATTTTTGAGAATGTCATAATCCCAAGTTCTTTTTCCTTTAGTTTCTTCTTTTGCAAACGGATCTTTTCCAAGACGAATTACCATAAATTCAAATATTGCTAAAAAGTGATTTGTTTCTGTATTTTGTGCAATACGATATTCTTTTGCTTCATCTTTTAATTTTCTATGTAAGTCAACAGTTAGTCGTGCACTTGTTCCTTTATCTAATATTGGACATTTCCTTCCTTGCCAAAAATATAAAATATGATATTCATTATTCCATTTAATATAAGTATATTGAATAATATAACTTTCACTTTCAAAAAACTCTCCAACTATTGGAGCATCAACTCGCTCAAAATCATCAATTCTCCATACTTTCTTTTTACCATCTGCATTATCAATAAACACTTCTTTTCTAATTGGAATTTCTTTAGTTAACATCATTGAATAATCAACAGCACTTCCACGTACAATTTTTTTCTGATCATCAAATGGAATCATTGGATTTTTCTTTATATTAGTATTATTATCATAAAAATCACAAAATCGTTCTTTAAACATTGCTTGTTCATATCCTGGAAATTCAAAATAGAGTGGTGCAACCCAAACTTCTTTTCTTCTTTCTAAATATCTTTTTTGACAATCTTGAATATATTGTTGTCTTCTATCTTTAATTACTCTTGTACCAACCCACATATACATTTCACTATAACAATCTAATATATAACAACTATTCACTTCTAATGAACTTTTACTAATTTCCTTTCCTTCATAACTCCATCTTTCAATATCCACTTTTTCTTTTAATCCATCCCACCAATATTTATATAATGTAACATATTTCATTTGAGCTAATTCCATTACTAAATCATCTCCTCCATCTTCTGCACTTTTAATTTTACCTTCTTTCTCTCCAAGTGCTTTCCAAAATTCTTTAGGTTCATTGTCCTCATCAATAGTTTCAGTCTTAACACCTCCTCGTTCTTTAGCAATCATTTTTGATAATTCCATAGCTTTACCTTTTTCCATTTTATTACTACTTTTTCCAAGCCATACATAAATACATTTAGCACCTTTTCCTGGATCAAATATAAATGCATCTCCTGAATTTAAACTTTCCCATGAACATTCAACCAATCTTGCAAATGGATTTCTTTTTCCTTTAATATGAATTAACCTTTTAATATCCCTTGCATTTCCTGTTGGTGCAGCTGCTAATTTCTTTCTTTGAAATAATAAATCTTCTGCTAATACACGAGCAGTAGCTTTTTCAGTTGTTTGTTTAGTACTTCCAACTGCATCTCTTTCTGCTTGAGCAACTGTTTTAGTTCCTTTAGTTCTATGTTTTTTACTTGGTCGTTTTTTGATATTCATTGTCTTAACTTCTTCATTTTCAACTAAGTCTTTCCATTCTTTTTTGTCTTTAAGTGGTTTATTTTCAATTACTTTTCTTTTATTTTCTTCTTCTTGTTTAATCTTTAACTCTTCTTCTTTTCTTTTATTTTCTTCTTCTTGTTTAATTTTTAATTCTTCTTCTTGTAACTTTCTTTCATTTTCTTCCTCTTCTTCTTGTAACTTTCTTTCTTCTTCTTCAATTCTTTTAATTTCTTCTTCTAATTTTCTTTCTCTTTCTTCTTCTTCTTTTCGTTGTTGTTCCTCTAATTCTTTCTTTTTTTGTTCTTCTTTGACTTGTCTTTCTTTTTCTTCTTCCTCTTCTTTTTTCTTTCTTTCTTTTTCTTCAATTTCTTTCTTTTTGTTTTCTTCTTCTTTTCTTATTCTTTCAAGTTCTTCTTCTTTTTTCTTACGTTCTTGTTCTCTCTTGATTCTTTCTTGTTCTCTCTTTTTTCTTTCTTCTTCTAATTTAGCTCGTTCTAATTCAATTCTTTGACGTTCTTCTTCTCTTTTTCTTCTTGTTTCTTCTTTGATTCTTTCCTTCTCTTCTTCAACTTTTTTCTTGTTATATTCTTCTTGTTGTTTTCTTTTGATTTCTGCTTCTAGTTGTTCTTGTTTCTTTTTTTCTTCTTCTTCCTCTGCTTTTTGTTTTTCTAATTCTTTCTTATTTGATTCTTTGATTGTTGTTGATTGTTCTACCTTCATTTCAACTAACTTCTCTTCAACCAAATTACCTTTTTCCTTCTTAACTTCTTCTTTTTGATTTTTAATGTGTTCTTTCTCAATACCAAGTTCTTTCTTAGACTCAAAAATAGAAGGAGTAACAACTCTTATTTCTTCTATATCAATGTCTTGTTCTGAGACACGACCATAATCTTCAGACACATAAGAACTGTCTGATGATGATATTTCATTAGCAAATATATCATCATCGTCATCAGTATAGTCATATTCTTCATCGTCAATTCCAAAATTGTTATACGTAAAATCTAAAGGATTAAGAGTAATGTCTTCAAGCATAGATTTTAACATATCTTCATACATCATTCGTTCATTGTCTTCATTTAAACCATCAACTTTGTCTGTTCCAAGAACTTTACGTTCATTTTCTCCATCAGCATTTTCAACAAAATATTCTTTAAATAGTTGAGTCTCTGCACCTTCAATGACAAACTCCATTTTGTCTCTTCTTCTAAAACTCATATCAAGTAATTCTTCAGCTTTAAGTACAGCGACAGTTCGTTCTGTTGGAGATGTTTCTTTTCCACACCAAACAAAGACAAGTACACCTGTATCTATAACAACAGTAGTATTAGTGTTTAATTGATTAATAGAAGGTCTTCCAGGAACAAGAAGAATTTGAGGACCATGTCGTTGTAATGCAATAACAAATACTTTTAAAAATTCACTAATTCTTTCCATAGTTTCTTTTGCTTTATATTTTTCTTTTATAACTCCAATTTCAAAATAAGCATTAAATGGTTTAAGTAATTCTTCTGTTTTAACACGTTTATTTTTTGATCCATCAATAATTTCTATTTGTTTAATTCCTTTTTCTGTTTTTAAATTCTCAACAAATACATTTGTTTTGTTTCTTTTTGCTTTACTTGCGTCTTTACCATAAAAAACAATTAATTGTTTTCCTGTATCAAAAATATAACAGTCATTACGATAAATAGTAACTTTATCTGGTGTTCCATCTTTCTTTTCACATTTAACTAATACAACCCATGCAGCATCTCCTTCTCCAAATATTCTAATTAATAGTCTTCTTGGTGGTGCTGGTTCATAAACTCTAGTTTTTGTTTCAACTTGAAGAGATTTTTGGAATTCTATTGATTCTTTTCTTCTTTCCATTTTTGATTTAGATAATACTTTTTTCTGTGAACGAGAAGGAATTGGATCACTTCCAGCTAAATATTCAAATATTTCTGAGATTGATGGATGAGTAGAATAAAAAGCATCTAATTGATTATTTTCTAAATCTAAAGACTGTAAAGAAGCACATTGAATTAACCCTTTTGGAAGATGGTGTAAAACATTACTTCCAAGAGTAAGTTCTTTTAATGAAACCAATAAAGAAATATCATTTGTAATAGAAGAAATATTATTATTGTCCATATATAACTTTAACAATGGACATTTACAAATAGAAGATGGAAATTCATCTAATTCATTATCTGCTAAATCTAAATGTGTAATGGGACAACGTTCTAATGATGGTATACTTTTAATTTTATTCCCACAAATGATTAATTGTTTTAATGATGTTAGTCTACTAATTGTTGGTGGTATTTCAACGATTTGATTATGTGCAAAACAAAGATATGTTAGACAAGTACAATCACCAATAGTATCAGGAACTATTGAAATTAAATTATTTCCAAAGTTTAATTTAAATAAAGGAAGAGCTCCAATTAATGGAGTGATTTTAGTAATTTTATTTTTTTCAGCTAAAACACATAATAATGATGAATTATTTACAAATACCATGTCATGAATCATATCTAAATCATTATTACTAACATCAAGAAATGTCAAAGTTTTTAGTTGACTTAAAGCCTCAATAGATGTAATTTGGTTTTGATGTAAATCAATCGATACTAACTCTGAATAATTCCCAACAGTTTGAGGAAGCTGAGAAATAAATTGATTTGAAAGGTCAAGTGATGTTTTCTTCACTACCTGTTTTGAGTTCTCTTGTCCCATGAGTTGTGATTTTTCAAGTTCACAAAAACGGTTCTTTACTAGATTCTTTCTGTCTTTTATTTTCCGTTTACTTTTTCAGGAAATAAAACTTTTTTATTATTCGTTTTATATAACAGTAAAATAGTTTATGTTTTAAAATCTAAAAAGAAAAAAGATCTTTTAGTTCTATTCATCATCATCATCCATAGTATGGGAGATCGTGAAGCACTTAAAAGTATTATTGCAAAAGGAATTGTTTTAAGAGAAAAACTTATAAAACATCCAACAATAGAAATGTGTAATGAGTTATTGAATATTGCAATTGAAACAAAAACTATTGGATTACAACTAAAACACCAACATGGAATTTTGTTAGGAGAAGAATTATCTATAAGAGCAACATATGAAAAAATGGTACTTGAAGAAGATTCAGATAAAGCAGACAGTGTTTATGAAAGAATTGTACGTGCTATAAAACAAGCAGAATATCTTGGTGATCAAGACCTCATATTAAGATTATATCAAACACGTGCTGACTATTACGCATTGATTGGAGATATTATTATGGAAATTGATACTGTAGAACGAGCTAACCTTATTCTTAAAGATCATAATAGGTCATTACGTTTGATTAAATTATATGGAGAATTTATTACAATGCTTAATAGTATTGTTCCCAAAAAAGATGAAGAAAAAATGATTGCAGATAAAACTATGGAAGCAAATTATAAGTGTATGTGTGAATTACAAATGTTAAGAAATGAAAAAGGATTTGACTATGATGGTTATATTAAAAAAAATCATTCATTAGCATTTAGAGTTTATGTATATTGTGGTGTAATGTTATCTAATCCATTTGTTTATGAAATAGATTCAAAAGAACAAAAAGTCGCACGTGAAGCATTTGAATTAGCTATAGAAGTAGCTGGATTAATTGGAAATACTGAATATCTTTGTGCTGCTTGGGGACAAAAAGTAGGTTCATATTATGGTCGTGGAACAGCTCAAGAAAAACAAGAATGGCTTGATAAATTATTATTCTTAAAAGATAAATACAAACCAAAAGAACATTGGATTGATGAAACATTAGCAGATATAGAAAATTCAGCTCATATTAAATTAAGAAATTCAGATTTAGGAGTAGAAGAACCTTTAAATGATCAATAATAATACATCTTTTCTTTTTTTTTAAATACATATATTTTTTGATATTGAAATAATGTGCTTTCTCTTTAATTTATTTAATAATCTAATCTTCCTATTATCTCTTCACAATCCTTTCTTTTTTTTTTTGATAAGATTATACTCTTATCATTTCTCTTTAAAACTTCTTTGTTAATATTTTATTTCACAATATTACCTCCTTTTAAATATAAAACTTAATATTCTTTTCTTACTTACTTTAACAAATAAATAATTCTTATTTTTATTGCATTTTTCCATAAATGTATTTTCTGCTTCATTTATTTAAGGAAAAGTTTCAATTTTTGAATAGCTTGAAATCTTTGTCTGATTATATCTAAATCATTTTGTCTTCATTATCATTATAGAAAGTATTAATGACCTTTTTTAAATATATTAACAATTTTATCCATTTTAAATCACCAAAAAGAGGCATTAAATTAGATTTAAAAAGAGCTTTATAAAAGGAGGAATTTTTCTTTATCTATTAGTTTCGTTTTAAATACTTTTCAACCTCTTTTAAATACTTTTTATCCTTTTTTTGTATAATTTCTTCATAAAACTAAAAACACTTTACAAACCTCAACAATTTAAAGATGATTTATCTTTATAATATCTTTTAGTATTCATTTAATAAAATGAATCTATGAAAAAGTAAAATATGTTAACTTTTATTTAAGTTTATTCTACCAGAAAATTATTTTTAGGAGGAATGAAATGATAAACATAGAAACTAAAATGGATAGATTGAAAAAGGTTTGAAGAATAATTAAAACGTTGTTTATAACCAATTAAAAAAACCACTTGACCTCTTGAAGTACTTTCTTTTTTTTATTTTTATATTCTAAATTATTCTTATTCCACTTAATAAGAAGAAGGAGGGTATGATATCTACTAAAAATAGATAAGAAATGTTATTTAAAGGTTACGGATTTAACTCATTAACATATCAAACATTCTTTTATCAATGAAAGCACTTCTTATTGCTCTTTTATGCGCTCTTGCACTTGCTGGTTCATGCATCAACTGTTTCCATATAATTGATGATTCAAGATTCTATACTTCACATGGAAAAGATTATATGATGGAATATATGGAAGGATTATGTGAATATACTGATGGTGGATGGACTGATGCTTGCAACTATATGAAGAACTATGGAATGGAGAATGTTGTTGATTTAATGATGAACGGTACTTCTGCTATGGAAATTTGCACAATTATTGGAAATTGTCCATATAATTAAGGTTCTTTTTTAAACATTACAAATTGGTTTTAATATTATTAATATATATTAATATATATTAATTTCTTTTAATTTTGTAATTTGTTATAGAATTATTCTTTTCTTTTTTTAAACCTTTTCAAATTTGTTATCATTTTTATTTCTTCCGTTATTTCTTTTTTTAATAATTATTTTTACTTAAACTAAAAGATATAACATTTTTATATTATCTTTTCTTTTTAATAAAAAAATTCTTTCTTTTTATTAGTTTTTTAATACAGTTTATAAAGTTTACAAATGAATGTCTTATTACTTTTTGTTGTTGTGATATTACCTAACTACAACTTTAATAAAAATATATTATTCATTGTTATTATTTTTGTTTTAATATATATCAAAATTTAGAAGAAGTTGGAAATGTCATCAACTCTAGAATAGTGTTATAAATTTAGATAAATATTTAATAATTAATAAATTAAATAACAAATAAAATGAATCATTAGTTTATTACATTAATTATATTTACA